GGTTTCAACGTAAAAAATTTGCGACACAAACATTCAGGCCATTATCTGTAACTCATTTTTAACGTTCTTCTAATCAATTTATATGATTAATATTCTTAGATGCAACAAATATCCTGAATTTGCCTATAACATGAAAAACCATGTACATTTTGTGAATGGCTCTTTGAAAGTGTATTCTTGTATCGAACAGAAATCTGCTTTTCCTTAATTTGTACCCTCAGGTACAAGTTTAAAATCATCCCTCTTTAAAATGTGGTACATAAAAAAAAAAATGTGGTGGAACTCTAAACTAAACACTGTCTGGTTTCAAAGATAAATTTCTTCTCATCATACTTTTCCATCAGTTGCCTATCATTAAGTCCCAAACTCACTTGGCCTGCATCTTGTCCTTGTTATATCTAGTGGAACGTCGTTATTAGGACCTGCCTCCATTGTATCTTTCTTTCTTCTAGAATATGATCTTTTTATTAAGCATTTACTATACTATGCACCTTAAAAAAATCTTTTAACTTTTGATTATTACGAAAATGTAATTTTTTTCTTTCTTGAAATCTTTATTAACCACCTCAAAGAATTTCCGTAATTATTGACTTCAGATTGCTCCAAGGAACTGTGGAGATAAAACTTATATACAAAATATCTAATTTTAGATCTTCAAATATGTAAATCTTGGGGGTTTCCTGTAAGGATAGGCCTCTCTACAGGTGGCCCAGCGCCCATCGACTGCCTCCTGGTTTATTTCACAGCGATGTACTGCCCTCTAGTGGACCTTTCTTGTCACATCAAAAGGAAGGCTGAGAGCAAGGAGATGTCTTCATGTAATGTACACATGCTCATTGAGTGCACTTTAAAGAATTTCCACAATAGTTGCTGGGAATACCGAAGTGAAAAAAACAAAATACAATAAAATAAAATGCACTATTTGTTTAAGACAAAGGAGACAGTTGAAAAATTGGGGGCAACTATCATAAACCCCAGATTTGTCCGAACCTATTAAGTTAGAAATGTCGTCCATAAGTGTGAGGGTTCTTGTGGGTAGAGTACAAATCTCTTATTTGAGATCTCACCAATTTAAATGAAAACTGACAGAAGCAACACATTTGGAAAAAAATAAAAATAAAAAGAGTAAAGTATGAGGACAATGAATTCATTAACGGCTGACTTGGGGAGAGTGGATATGGGGGAGTTTTAAGGTTGGTCCCACCCAGGTGGAGCTCTTCATCCCTTAGCTGTCTGTTGAAGTGTAATCAGCTCTTTCTCAATCCACCACACAATTCATAATGGTTGAATTTCTCCACACATTTTTTTTTTTTGGTACCAGGATTGAACCTAGGATGTTTAATCATTGAGCTTCATCTCTAATCCTTTTTATGCTTTATTTTTTTATATTTATTTTTTAGTTGTAGTTGGACACATATCTTTATTTCATTTTATTTTATTTTTTTATGTGGTGCTGAGGATTGAACCCAGGGCCTCTCGCATGTGCTAGGCAAGTGCTCTACCGCTGAGCTACAATCCAAGCCCATAAAGCATAAGCTGAGCCTGGCTTTGAACTTTCCTCCTGCTTGTGCCACCGCTCCCTGCCTCTCCATGCATATGTTCTTTCTCTCCGGGACTACATGTCTGTCCTTATTGCAGAGTTCTCAACACCTGACACTGCCAGGGCCTCAGTTCATATTTGTTGAAGGATGACTTTTTGATTTAGTGGGGCAGATAGGATAGATATACATGAGAGGCTAATAATGTAGCTTCATCTGTGGCAAATGTACAGTTGGCTGCTTTGGGGAGTAAACAGGAGATGACAATAAGTTGAGGTCCATTAGGGAAAAACCAAGGAAGAAACTGGATCTGAGCTGAGTCTTAAGGATGAATGGAAGAAGCCAGGCACCATGGTGCACAGCTGTATTCCCAGGTACCCTGAGTTCAAACCCCAGGACTGAGAAAAACAAGAGAGAGGGAGAGAGATAGAGGGAAGGAGAGGGAGGGAGAGACAGAAGAAGACAGCACAACGAAACACATGAA